TGCTCCTTTCTGAGAACGACCAGAAACAACGAGTCAAACTTATCACCAAACATGACAAGACATATAACTGGCTCAGAAGGAAACGTTACGGCCAAGTTAACATCGATCCTGAAACAACAATAATAAACTTCACACCATTGGAATTGACTACCGTGCAGAAGGAGCTCCTTTGCCGTGGCACTGATTTTGGCGTTCCCCCATCATCAAATAAAAAGGAAGTTATCATGACCGAGTTTGAATTGTTTTATCGAAAGTTATTACGTTTTACGCCGACATCAGAGGCCCAGCAATCAATATGCGCAGCAAAGATCCGAGCTGAGGCTGAGGAGCATGCGGACAAACTTCCAGATAAGCGATCATTTTCCTTAGGCCAGGAACACATGAAAGCCCTCCGTGACTTCCGCAAAAACACGGAAATCATCGTCACGCGCCCGGACAAAGGGCGGGCTACAGTTCTGATGCTCAGAACCGATTACATCGACAAGATGTCTGTCATCTTAAATGACACATCAAAGTTCCAGACCCTCGGCCCAGTTGAAAGTTTTGATCGAACAGAGAAAGTAGAAAAAGAACTAATAGCTTACCTAAAGAAACTGAAAGACGACGGTGAAATATTCTCAAATGATTTCGATCGCATTAAACCGACAGGCACCCTCCGGCCTAGGCTATATGGCTTACCAAAAATACACAAGCCCACATGTCCAGTACGTCCCATCGTTTCCATGACGGCTTCACCCCAATATTCTATTTCCAAGTGGCTGTGTATTTACTTACAACCAGTGCAGGACCACTACTGCAAGCGCACTGTAAAAGACAGTTTTGATTTCGTCGAGAAGCTCCGCAACAAGCCTGTACCACCCAACGCACACATGTGTTCGTTTGACGTCGTCAGTTTATTTACTAATGTGCCGATTGAAGAAACTGTCGACATCTGCATGGATGTTTTGTACCGTAATGATGACGTTGACACTCCTTGGATATCTGAAAGTGCGTTTAGACGGTTGTTGTTGCTGGTCACAACTGGTGTTGAGTTTTCGTTCAACAATGTCATGTACAAACAAGTCGATGGTGTTGCGATGGGTTCGCCCCTTGGTCCGGTATTGGCAAACGTGTTTGTCGGTTACTGTGAGTCGAAAATTGATGATTCATTGTGGCCTGACCTTTATGTACGTTTCGTGGACGACTCCTTCACATATTTTGATAATGAGGAGCGTAGTAACGAGTTTCTTGACGTGTTAAATAGTATTCACCCTGCCCTTCGTTTTACATGTGAGCATGAACAGTCCAACAAATTGTCATTTCTAGATGTGCTTGTGGAAAAAACGAGTAGTGACGTTCTGACCACCGTTTATCGAAAGCCGACGTTTACTGGTCAGTACATTGTATATGACTCTTATTGTTCGTCTCAATATAAAGTAAACTTAGTGCGTAACCTTGTAGATCGTGCGAAGCGTATTTGTTCGTCCTGTAAGCTGCAGGAAGAGCTTGATTTTCTCCGGTCAGTTTTTGTCAAGAACGGGTACCCTGAGTTTTTGTTGCAGAAGTTGTTGAAAGTCGAACAAACTACGAAGGCTCCTATGATTGGTCCTGCTCGTTGTCCCGTTTATTTATGTTTGCCGTGGAAAGGGCAGGAGTCGACTAAAGTTTGTAGTGCAGTCAAGTCTGTTGTTCGTCGAACATACTACGCAGTACACTTTGTGCCCGTCTTTACGACGATGCGTGCGTTTACGGTGCGGAAGGATGTCCTACCAGCCCATCACCTAAGTCATCTTATTTACAACTTTGAATGCCGACAATGCGCTAGTCGGTATGTTGGTAGGACTGTTCAGCACCTGAACGCACGCATCAAACAACACACACCACGTCACATACTTCCACCTTGCGCACAACAACAAAGACCGAAGCGAGGGCGACCTAGAAAACAACCAATAACCACACAGCCGTTGCCTACACAACCCGCGGACCCTGGCTCACGGACTGTGCTTGCTCCGCCGTCGCTGGTGGCGGTGGGGGAGGAGAATGGGCGTGGTGGCTCATCGGGTCGGCTTGTGTCGCCGCCTTTGCTCCGGCCGTCGGTGGTTCCCTCGTCAGTGCCCCCGGCGGCTTTGGCTGAGGTGGTGCCGCTTGCGGTCCCGGTCCCACTGCCTCCTCCCGATCCTCCACCATCGGTTCTTGCGGCGGTGGAGCTTGCCAGTGGGAGACCGCGAGCAACACTGACAGCTGCATTAACACTACAAATGCCGACTCAAAAAGACCCACCTTGCATATCAGTAGCTCCCACACCAACACCAACAACGCAATCTACAGCAACCACAACTAATCCACCATCCAAGCCCACAATTGAAAGACCAAGACGATCAACAGCCAACTACAACAGAAGCTACGCACTCAGCGGACAAGGGCGAAAGGAGGGATGTGATAGCAGGGTGACGGCCGAGTTGACTTCAATGGACCCGGTCAGGCGGGATGGACGAGACAGAGAGAGTACAGAGGAAGCGGAGGATGGAGCGGACGGCGGAAGGAGCAGTGAGTCGGAGAGCAGTGATGGGAGTGATGGTGAGAATGCCGGTGAGAGTGTTAGTGTTGTGCGTAGGTTTCGTGGTAGCAAGTCTTCAGTGTACAATCATCTGCTAGCTAGTCCTGATTGTTGCAATTCGTATTCCGACTCTTCGTTCACTGTATTGTGCCGTGGTCGTCATGGTTATGGACTACAGTTAAAAGTGTTGGAAGCTATCTATCAGCGTCTGTACAAGCCTAATTTGTGTGTACAGAAAGATAGTATAATTGGGTTGAAATTGTTCAAGTAACGTGTCGTGTTTAGTGCGGCCAAGCTTGGCCGTTAATGTTCTAGGTGTAATGTACTGCTGTTATGTGTTATCACGTTGTCTTTCCTTCCTTTCTCCTTTGTTCATTTCTCGCTTTGATTGTTAAAATTCACACTTGTAAATTTCACTGTTGTTGCTCTTAGTGTTATTTCTGTAACTTAGATTTTCTATAATAGTTCAATTTTTGTTTCAGTGTCCTTTAGTACAACGACGATTCCTGATGAGTGTTGTACGAAAACTTGTTTGAATCCATATATTTTTTCCCTACACCATTTCTTCATATTTTCATCGTTTTATTGCACATCGTCTCCACCGTTTTTTACATTGCATGAATAAAGTACACAAATGTCGGTTCAGCTAGTTTTATTGATTGCGGTTATCAAATTATTGTCTCCTCGCCGTGTGTTTAAATAATAATAATAATAATAATAATAATAATAATAATAATAATAATAATAATAGTCTCTTTCCCTCAAAACCAGTTAATAATAATAATAATAATAATAATAATACCACAGCACGCGTAATAATATAATTATGTGGGTATAATTATACGTTCCGCTTCTGTCCTATCTCCTATGATCAAATTCCATTATCAAGGTAATTATTAACACGGCGCACTGATGACCTGTGACGCCAGATCATGGATTGTCGGCCAGATTTCTCCATGTAGGCTTGTCCAGAGCGATGGCCCTCACATTCCCCAGCTGACTGCTGCGCTTCAAGTCGATGTTCCTCCTCTGTAAGTCGCTTGTGATGCACGTCGCAATGGATGTCCTTGGACGTCCATGCCCAGCCTTGGCATCTCCCGCAAAATAGCCCGTCAGCGCGATCCATGGCGGCGCATCCCTGTCCATACGGAGAATATGGCCGGTTAGCTGCCATCTTCTCCTGTCCACAATGTCAGATAGTGGTTCCGTGTTGCACCTCTCATACAGCTCAGTATTTGATATCCTGGCTGGGTAGACTATGCCAATGAGCCTTCGGAGCTGCTTCCGGTGGAAAACGTTAAGCGATTCTGCTTGTGCTGCCGTGAGCCCCCATGCGCCGCAGTTATACAAAAGAACGGGCAGAACCAGGGCATTATACAGGCGGATGCACCTCTGCTCACTGACCTTCCCACGCCTCAGCCAGAGGCTATACATCCTGCCGTATGCACTCGAAGCGAGGTCTTTCCTCCGCTCCAATCCTCACTGTCGCCAATGAGGGACCCTAGCTGCCTGCTGGACCGCCAGGAGTCTGAAGTTGATGTCAGATGCAAGAATTCGGTCTTGGTCTCGTTTACTGTAAGGGACCAATCCCCGAGTTCTGCGCTAATGATGGGGAGGCTTCGCTTCAGCCACTCCTCACTGGTTGAGTACAATGTCACATCATCGGCGTAACCTGTTTCTCCGGGTATGTGACGGTCGGCGAAAGGGCGTTCGGGAAGGTTTGCTCTCACTTGGCGCAGTGCTGCCTCCAGGTAACAAATAAAAAGAACAGGGCTCAAGCCATCTCCCTGGGGGGTGCCGATGGTGCTGAGAAACGGATTGGCAGTTGCCTTTCCTACTTTCACTGATATTTGTGTGTGGAACAGTAGGTGCTGGATCATGCGCACTTCATCGGGGCCAGTCACTAATGCCATGACGTCTAACAGTTTGGTGCGATCGATCGTGTCGAACGCACGGGACATGTCAATCCCCAGCATGTGGCATTCCCAGTTGTATCGAGTCGCCTTGGCCGCAATCCAGCGCTGTGTCCATACCACATCTGTTGTACTTCGGCCTTGTCTGAAGCCAGATTGAGTTGGACCAACATAACGAGCAACGTCCTTTGCGATTCGGCAGAGCACTACAAGGGAGAAAACTTTTCTTCTGCATAGCTACGGGAATAAATAAAAAATTTTACTTTGTCAACATGGCAACAGTCAAGGTCCAAAATAAAGTGTTCGGTTGACTCTGAAGGATTCGACGGATCTGAGATCTGGATCCCGATCCTACCAATGCGGCAATGGAACATGCCCAAGCACAGTTTGCGAAACTAGCACCGGTTTCCACTCCGTACAAACTAGCGCCATTTTTCCACTCCATACAAAGCATTATTATGACTGTGATGATCTCATTCGACGTTTGGCTCATCAGCCATGCATAGTTGTACTGTCTGCGAATACGTATTTCTAATTCAAAATTTACTTACCCGATCGGAGAAGAATTTTTCCTCTCGTATTTGGGTTTCTTCGGAATCGGCTCCATTTCCACGAGTCACTACACCCACGATAGCGCCGTTCCGTTCTCCTGGTTCCCAACAGCAGCAACACTGGTGATGCGATTATGAAACCATCGCTAGGTAAAACCCAAGCAAACACACTCTTCAAGCATAAAATAATTGTCGAACCGCCGCCCCTGTCGGACATCGGTGGTAGATATTGATATTGTACTCATAGTCATACTTCATAAAGCACTCTACCTGCTCGCCCATTTGACTGACAAGTGCAGTGACAGGCGACGATCATTAGCCAAGATAAGAAGTCGAAAAATGCTTTGCTTTTTACTTCACCTGCATTCGATTCCACTGGCAATCTGCTCACAGTCGTCTTGGTCGTTGTGCAAAATCTGTGCCATGTGTACAGAAGTCTACAGACTGTCACTTGTCAGCACAGACAGTGTATGAAGACATTATGTAGACATCTACTAATGACTATGTCATTGTCAGTGAATTATAATACTAGACTACTACTACTAGTAGTAGTACTAGTATGAGTAGCCAGGATTTTACCTTCCTGACCTGAGGCTTCCTCACGTGCGCTGCTAGCTAGCTAGCTAGCTGTCGACCACAATGCCAAGAACGCAGCATCCGAAACCTTCCCTGCTATGATCATGATGATGGCTACAGTACAGCGAAAGCAACAATCATTATTTATCTCAGTGACTCAGGCAGGTAACTGGTTGTCATGAAGCACAGAGTCACGGGCGCAGTTATTGTTGCAGTTGTGAAAATGACTGTACATGTAGTAAACCTACCCAGATCTAGATCCGGACCTCCCTAATCCGGGCACCTTCGGCATGGAGCTTCGTCTACCGGGCACCTTCGGCATGGAGCTTCGTCTACCGGGCACCTTCGGCATGGAGCTTCGTCTACCGGGCACCTTCGGCATGGAGCTTCGTCTACCGGGCACCTTTCTGACCCATCTACAGTCACGATCATAGTCACTTGACATAGTCACTTGACATAGTCACTTGACATAACTTGACATAAAGGTTATTAAAGCATTTCAACGAAAAAAATGGCCCCAAAACTATTGTACCAAGGAAAAAGGTGTGAACAAGTTATGCGATCGAGTCTACCAACTAAACCAGATTTTGAACAGTCAGACGTGCTCAATCTAGCACAAAACTGACAAGGAATACTGAGACATTCCACGGCATGAAAGTCAGCTTGAGCACTGCTCGATAGCGCTAACCAACGTCCTTCCAACTTGGAAGGTTCATGGATATTTGTGCTAACTGACTTTCATGCCGTGGAATGTCTCTGTATTCCTTGTCAGTTTTGTGCTAGATTGTGCACGTCTGACTGTTCAAAATCTGGTTTAGTTCAGGGCTCGATCGCATAACTAATAATTATTGCTTGTGTCCACATTTTTCCATGTTACAATTTTTTCCTTGGCTCACCATCTGAGGTCAAAAACTATTGATTGTCATTACAAAATGTTTGTTTACTTGCATCATTCAGGAAGTACATGTATGTATGTTCTGAGTTACGGGCAATTCCTAGTTTTTGTTTTTGGCAATTCCTAGTTACGGGAAGTGCTCGGTTCCAAGTTCCAACCTACTAGTACCCGGATCTGGGCAGTTTTACTGTACATCATCTGATCATCATGCACTTCGGCAGTACTTCAAGTACATGTGTAACCAGGTAACTGTAGATGCACAGTCAGTGCACAAAGACAATCTGTACCAGTAGACATCCTTAGCAAAAGTACGATAACGCTAACTTTTACGGTACTCACTCCCAGCCGTGACAAAAGACGTTATCGGATAACGGAAAAACGTTACAGAGCTCAAAATAACGGGCCGACGTTCGTTATGGAAATTCTGCAAAAAATGCAAAAACTCGCATTGTTTTGTAACTGGCGGGAGATAAAAAGCACGTCGTGCAGATCGAGAGTCGAGATTGCTTCCTCTTGTGACATTTAGCTTTTTGGCGAGTTTTGCCTTTCAGTTGACAATTTCTGCTTCGTGCCTTTCTCCCTCTATCCCATCTGGGAAACAAAGGACCAGTTCCACGGCACTCCTGAGGAAGAAATTCATCGGCCTCTCCCAGACGTGCTGGAGCTGGAGAACCCTTACAGTCTTCGGTGCTGCGTTTAGGAAAGGGTTTCCAAGGACCTGGGAACAGCGAAAACTCATGTTCGCCGTGCTTTTGCTATTCCAGAGTAAAAGACCTCGCCAAGGTATTCTTTCGGAACGAGAGCAAACTAATCCCTGGTTCAAAATTTTGAATTTCCCGCATCTGTTTCCACGAAAATTCATATCGCCATGGTTGTCACGACTACTTCGTCTCAACTATAACGTACTTTGTGCTAAGGGAAAAGTCAGCTTGAACGATCCGAAGTACGGAAAGGTTTGCGTTTACGTTAGCGTTTTTTTAGCTAAGGATATCTAGTACCGCCTCGTCTCTGCATACATGTACATGTACATGTATGTACACAATTTCGTGATCGTGCAAGTTTCGTGGCCACGAGGCTTTTATTTTCCAAAGTTTTCTCTTACTCATCCGCAATCAATGTACAGTGGTGTAGTTCGGGAAGCTGTCCGAAGTCAAATTTACACAATACTTTTACATATACACAGGACGTGGAACCACTCTATACGAATGTTGTATGCTGATGAAAACTTGATTTAAAACTCCTGGATAACTGATAAGGCCACGCCCGCACATAACCCCAGGTAAAGGGTAGGCGTCAGCACACCAGCACACCAGCACACCAGCAGCCCATGTGCTTACATACATGTACACTTGAAGTACGTTTCATTGTTTGTTTACATGTAGGTCATCTTCCTGCTTTGTGTTGCCTGAATGTGCCACTTTGTGGGCGCTACTTGCTGCATGTTGAAGACAGAAAGTCCTCAATCTCTTTTCTCTTTATAGACATTTCGGATTATTGTTTCACATATTCAGTGATCCATTATCAAAGGCAAATCCATTTCCAGTACAGTACTCGATGGCACACTATGATGATGTTTGATATACTTCAGACTGAGTACAAGTACTTAGTACATGTTGTAACTATACTGACAAGGTTTATCTGGTGATCTGTACTACAGTACTGCAGTTGTAGTATTGAATTACTTCAAGTATCTAATACGCATGTACATGTATGTGGTACGTTGGTGCTCAGTGTGCTGAGAACTTGGCAAATATGACATACTCACACACAGACACACTTCGAAGTAACTTTCCTCTTTTTCTCCCAGCACCATTCACCAACGCTCCTACACTCCACACATGTCTGGCACATTTCGGGCACATAATCATTTCTCATTCTTCTTTTCACTTTTCTACAGCACCTCACGTGGAAAGGAGCAGAATTAGGGGAATTGCCAACCATGAGCTTCGTACAGTCCTGCCTTCAGCCCTACCTTGGCTTCAGTGCTATTCGCGCAGAACCTGCGGTTTTTCGAGCATTATCCGCCATAGCCCTGGATCACTAATTATAAAAGTATTGGATACCTGGGCACACCGGGCCGTCATTGGATGCCTGGGCTATATTATGATTAGAGAAATATGGTACTGCACGTAAACCCTGGCGGATCATGCTCAACATATTGACATAATCTGCTCGAAAGCGAAACGCAGTGAAATAATTGGCAGAACCATACAAACAAAACGGGCAGGCACTTCCTTGAATTCTGCTCCATTTCCTTATCCACATACATGTACATGTACATGTACCGAACATGCATGAAACATAACAGAAATTTACCTGCCAATTTTTCTGCTGCAGCCATGGCATTATCCGCCAGGCCCAAGGGCTGTACTGCACATACGATTTATGCTTTTCCCAACATGCATGAAACAACTACACGTAGTAACTGTTAGTGTTAGTTGCAGCGGGTACATGTACAATCATGTTAATCATGAAAAGAGCAAAGACTGAATGATAGCCACAGCTTTGGGCACAGTGCAATGAAGCGAACAGCAATGCATCGATCAGGAAGAAAACATTTGAAACATAGGGTGGTTAGTTTTCCGGTGTGCTGATGCTTGAAGTCAGTGTCACTTGGGATTTTGTGGGCCACCAGAAAGTCGAACGGAGTCAGGTCATCCGGTGTTCTGGCAAGCACTAAACCGTGACCGGAAAACCGGAGTCGGGCTGTTGGGATTTACATGTACACTGTGCCAGAGAAGCCAAGCCAATCTCTGCACTTGTCTTGTGATAGAGGTGTTGGTTGTACAGCCAATATTCATGTAAGCAACCTGATCAAGAGATCACCGGGTTTGAGCAGCCAATTAGTCTGTAAATGAGCGAGGGCCAACCTGCGTTCGAAGAACGCGATAGGCCAGTACCATGGGTGGTCGATGCGTGGAAGCAACCTGCACTTGTGTAACATGATTATGAAAAGAGAAATGAAACAACAATTCAAGAAGACAGTTTTAACTTTTAAAACATTAGTAGAACACGACACCACCCGTCTTGTGAGACCGCCGCGCCAGTCATTGCAGTGTCACATGCAAAGCGCTACTTGCATGCATTCAAAACTGCAGCGAAGTACCACAAGGAAAGAAGGTCTGTGTAGCATATAACGACAGAATCAGCTAGGCCAAGAGCCTACACTCGAAAATTACTTGTCAGGAATGAGAGACTAGAGGCACAGCTAGTAAGAAAGCATCAGTTCTGATATGCATAGATGTCGATGGAGCAGGCATGGCGTGGACCAAGCAGTTAAGGTGTGAATGGAGCACTTGCTGGGTGGACAACGCAGCTAAATTAGCCTTGAATGGAGTAGTTATGGTGTAACTGTGATGTTGTAGATGTGTTCTCCTTTTGTGTTTATGTACGACGCCTGCATCTTAGTGTCGTCCACGTTGACCACCATGAAGCCAGCATCTTTCGACAGGAACTGCAGCTTCTCCACCATTTCACTGTCGCTTTCATAGACTTTGCCGAAACCGCCACCACCACTGATGAAATAGTCCATATTCTGCTGATTCAAATGCTCCAGATCATGCACATGTCCACAAAAGTACATCTGCACACCATGCTTTGAAAGCACATCTTGGACAAGATCCATACTCACTCCGCTGGAAGATTTGTAGAGCGTGTTTCCAGCATGAGAGACGATCGGGTGATGGCCAACAGCAATCTTCCATTTCGATTTAGAAGCTGCCAGCGTTCTGTCGAGCCAGGCAAGCTGAGCCTTGTAGTCCTGCTGAGCAAGCTGAGACTTCATCCATTCGTTCTCAGGATGATCAATGTAATCCTCGATGAAGACATTCGTGTCCAAGTGTACAAACGTAGCTGACTCCTCTGTGAGCTGGACCGTCCAGGTGTAATAGCGTGCAGGTATCACCCACCTTGGATCCAGTGCATTGTACAGTAACTGTGCTGTGGTGTTGCCCATATAGTCATGGTTACCCAAGACCGTCACGAACTTCACATCCTTCAGTGATTCATTGTACATGTTCTCAAAATACTGCTTCCATAGTGGGTCGGTCAGACTTGTTACACCACCCTGGCGCTGCCCAGATGGGGTCAATTCATCTTTGTAGAAATTATCACCAACGTTGACAACGAAGCTAGCCTGCTCAGCAGTCACCACCTCTTTCATTCGAGCCGCTGTGGCTCGCTGTTGGTCATTCCCCATTCCCCAGTCGCCCAGGACAATGAAGTTTGCAGGCAACGCCTGACACCCACTCCATGTCGAGGCAGCAGCTAAACAAAGGAAGGCTAACACCAGTCCTTGGCGAGGAGTCATTGTGCACCAAGCTAGATGTAACACAGACCTGGAAATTGAACTAGCAACACTGCATGCAGTCAGCAAACAACTACTTGTCTGTCGTTCCGACTTGGATCGGAAGAACCTCGCGATAGGCTTCTCTCACTTCGCCCCACTCTACGCTTACTACCCGATTGAATATCATGTGACCATGGTGACGTACTTATGATTATGTAGCTACCGCCAATCGGCTGGTGAAAGAAGGAGCGAAATGCCAGCGCTGATAGCCTACATTGTGTAGACTACCAACCAGGAAGTCGTCGGCTTTCACGGCGACTCCTGGGTAAATGGCGCGAACTCTGCATGCTGCATGTTGCGAACTCGTCTGGAGCTACAGCCGCATTACGGTTGCCGGATTGATACACCTCGCCACAATGTAGACTGTAGTCTACCATGGTCTACCACTAAAGATAAGTAATGATGTGCTACATGCGATGTCTGCAGCTGGCAGCCTGCGAGTTTTGAGAAACCACCTTGTCAAAGACTGCACGTGTCATTGCTATTCTGATCTTCAGATCTCCCTTCCTCTTTTCCAAATTTCCCCTACGTTTGACGGGTGCTGTGTGAGACTGTAGCGTTGTAGTCCCCTGTTAGAGTTCTTGTTGGTTTCGTGCTAGTAGAAGTACACTGTCTGTACGTAACAATAATTACGTGTAGTTCGATAATGTACTTTCACCTCCTTGGATACACAAGGATAATCTCGGACAGGACGCTGATTTGGGCTGTTGTTGACACATCTATGTCAGCGTGGGGGCGATGCGCGCGATACAGCAAGCCAACAACATTACGCACTTGGCCGAGTGTTGCTGTGTGTAATCAACCAGCGCTGTATACGCGAATCTAGTGGCCGGCGCTGTCCGGGATGAGAGCTGTTCCTCTCACAAGCTGGCGTTGAGTTATGTTGATGATCACTCACGATGAAAGTCGAAGGCGTTCGGATCAGGAAATAGAGCTCCTCGTCCATACAGAATGAAGATGGGTCGGGACGATCCGAGGAAAAGCTTCGCTGTCGGATTGAGACTCTGGCGTG